AAAAAAAAAAAAAAAAAAGAATTCTGAATCTAGTGGATAAAAGACATAAATCTAAGACATGAAATGATAAAAATCTTAAAAGAAAGTGTAGGAAAAACTAGATGATATCAGCTTAGGGAAAGATTTTATGAAAAAGATTCCATCCACTGGCAATCACAACAACAACAAAAAAATAAGTGAGACTTAATTTAAGCTAAAAAGCTTCTGCACAGCTAAGGACACAACAATTAAAGCCAACAGACAACCTTCAAAATGGGAAAAGATATTTGCATATTACAAATCTGACAAAGGGTTGATAACTAGAATCTACCGAGACTCAAATTAATTAACAAAAAAGGAGCAAATAATCCCATCACTGGGCAAGAGACATGAACAGAACCTTCTCTGAAGAAGACAGATACATGGCCAACAAACACGTGAAAAAATGCTCATTATCCCTAATCAACAGAGAACTGCAAATTAAAACCACCTTGAGATATCACCTAACCCTAGTAAGAATAGCCCATATCACAAAGTCCCAAAGCTAGAGATGCTGGTTGTGCAGAGCAGGTAACACATTTATATTGCCGATGAGACTGAAAACTAATACAGCGTCTATGGAAAGAAGTATAGAGAACCCTCAAAGAACTCAAATTAGACCTCACAACTGATTCTGCAATCCCACTACTAGGCATCTACCCAGAAGAAAAAAAGATCATTTTATCATAAGGACATCTGCACTAGATTGTTCATCACAGCTCAATTCACAATCATCAAGTGCCCATCAATATATGAATGCACTAATAAACTATGGTATATGTATACCACAGAATATTATTCAGCCATAAAAAAGACGGAGGCTGGCCAAATGCAGTGGCTCATGCCTGTAATCCTAGCACTCTGGGAAGCCAAGATGGGTGGATTGCTTGAGCTTATGAGTTTGAGATCAGCCTGAGCAGAAGTGAGATCCTGTCTCTATTAAAAATAGAAAAACTGGCTCGGTGCCTATAGCTCAACCGGCTAAGGCGCCAGCCACGTACACCTAAGGTGGCGGGTTCGAATCCCCAGCCCGGACCCGCCAAACAACAAT